AGAGAGGGGGAAACAAATCTGCAAAACACATCAGTGCAACGTCTGCTACACACACACACACACACACACACACACACACACACCCACACACACACACACACCATCACCATCATCATCATCATCGGCGGTCACTCGTAGTCGAGTATGACTGCCCTCCTTCCTGGTCCTTGTGGGTCTTCAGGTGGGCATAGAGGCCGATTCTGGACCCGATTACTCTTGTGCAGTGTGGACATGGGAATGTAGTGGTGGAGGGTTTGGGTTGGACCTGTTTGGTGGTTGCTCTCTCCTTCCTCAGTCTGCGCTTGCCTTGTGCAGCATGGCAGAGGTCATCATTGTATAGTGCAGCACCCTCAAGGTTTCTCCAGGTCGCCCTGTCTGTTGCCATGTCTTCCCAAGCTTTTAGGTCTAGGTGGCACTTCTTTAGGTTTGTTTTTATGTTATCTTTGTACCTCTTCTTTTGGCCTCCAGGGGCCCGTTTCCCTTTAGCAGGCTGGGAATAAAGGACTTGTTTTGGGAGGCGAGAGTCAGGCATGCGGACAACATGGCCAGTCCATCTGAGCTGGTTTTGGGCAATGGTGGCAGTGATGGTGGGAATGTCAGCCTCCTCCAGGACGCTGGTGTTAGTGCGCCGATCCTCCAGCTAATGCTGAGGGATCTCTGATGGTATGCCTCAAGTGCCTTTAAGAGCCTGCTGTATGTGGTCCAGGCTTCTGATCCATACAGAAGAGTGGGGAGCACCACAGCTTTATAGACCAAGATGTTGGTCTTTGCTTGGAGGTCACGGTTCTCAAAGACTCTCTTCCTTAGCCTTGAGAAAGCCCCACTGGCACAGCTGAGGCGATGGTGTATTTCATCATCAATAACAGCTGTTGATGATAGGAGGCTGCCAAGGTATGGGAAGTGGTCCACATTTTCCAGTCTGATGTTGTCAATGGAGATGTTTGGGGGTAGGACAGGCGTCCTGCTGTTTGGTGGTGGTTGGTGGAGGATTTGGGTCTTTTTTATGTTGATGGCGAGACCAAGCTGTTTGTATGCTTTCGCAAAGGCTGATAGGATACTCTGTAGGTCCTCTTCCGAGAGGGCTACAAGGGCGTTGTCGTCTGCATACTGCAGCTCCATGATCGATATGGTGGTGGTTTGACCTTTAGCCCTGAAATGGTTGATGTTGAGGAGTTGGCCGTCGGTTCTGTACATGATGTTAACTCCCTGGGGCAGATGCTTGCTTGAGAGATGTAGGATAGCAGCAACAAAGATGGAGAATAGTGTTGGAGCGATGACACATCCCTGTTTGACTCCTGTGTCGACCCGGAAGGGTTCAGTTTCGTCTCCACTGCCACTGAGTACCGTGGCTGACATATTGTCATGCAGCAGTCTCAGTACCCGGACGTATTTGTCTGGGCAGCCAATCTTTGCCAGTACCAGCCAGAGGGCCTGACGGCTCACTGAGTCGAAGGCTTTGGTGCGGTCTATGAAGGCCATGTATAATGGTTGATTTTGTTCTCGGCATTTTTCTTGCAGTTGGCGAGTAGTGAAAATCATGTCTGTAGTGCCTCTGTTTGGGCGAAATCCACTCTGAGACTCAGGATGCTTTCTGACAGGGGGGTGAGTCTGTTGGCCAACACCCGAGCTAGGGCTTTCCCTATGGTGGACAAGAGAGAA